AGAGCGCCGGGTGCCACGAGCAGGGCTGCACCGCTCCGCAACAACCCCACCCCGCAAAACCCTGCCCGGGATGGAGTAACCTCGTGCGACAAGGCACCTGCTCGGGGCAACTGTGCGCAGCATCCCCACCCCGCACAGCGAAAGGAGATGGAGCAACAGGCACCAGCTGCAACAAGGGAAATTTTGATGGGACTTCGGGGGAAAAAGTGTTCCTCCTGAGGGTAGCACAGCCCAGGCAAGGTGGCAACCCCGTCCCTGGAGATTTTCCTAACTCAGGTGGACAAGGCCCCAGGCTGTGGAGCTGGCCCTGCACTGAGCAGGAGATGGACCAAGCCCTCCAGCGCTCCCTTCTAGCTTAAATCTTTCTGCGCTTCACACAGCAGGGTCCCTGCAAAGGTCTGCACAGGTCCATGTGGGGCAGCTGAAGGTAAGGAGGCAGCGAGCTCACCTCCACGATGGCATCTGCCCAGCCTTGTCCTGCTGGCCCACGGACTGAGATCTGGCAGGACTTCGCACGTTCTCCACTCCAAGTCCACCAGCACCTCAGCGCTGTGAAACGTAACCTCCCTGGCCACTTCGGGCTTCTGCAGAAAGTGGGACCAGGACCCACAGCGCTCTCCCTGCCTGCGCTACATCAATGCTGCTGGTTTCTGCTGCCCACCACCACTCCTCAGGCCCTGCTGAGCCCACCAGGAGCCACGCACACGCTGAAAGAGGGAAACGATGCTTTATTGGAGCATGTCCTGCCCCACAGCCAACAAAGGCTTCTCCAGACATCCTGCCAGATCCCCCTGCAGCCAGCCCAGCTCTTCCCTGGGCAGGAAGGACTGAAGCTCTGTGCCTCTTTGTTGTCCACAAGCCGTCCCCAAGCTGCTGAGCCAAGCCAGCAGGTCGGAGGGTACTGGCTGCGTGAGCAGGATGGGTCAGCGCTCAGGACTAGGGCACGCACGGCAGAGGTACAGCACAAGGTTTTTGTGCAGAGAAGTCTGCAGGTGCCCAGAATGAGCCATGACAATGGCCCAGCTCAGGAGAAAGAGGGGGGACAAGGAACACCACAGGCAGCAGCACAGGAGACCTCCTACCAGTTTCTAGAAGTGGGAAAAAATGGGAAAATAAGAGGTGATGCCGTGGATCCAGAGCAGAGAGCTAATCTCTGAGAAGTCAAGCAGCACAGACAACTGCTCTCCAGACCACAAAGCGGAGAGTGTATTAGGGCATCTCCCTCCCTTTTCCGTGGACAAGACACAGCACTGGAGGATGAGCAAGAGATGCCGGCTGCACGTTGGACACTGTGTCGGCACCTGCGTGGGCCCAGGGTCCTGAACTTGCCTTCCTCTCCCTCCCTCCCAAAGTGATGATCCTCCCTTCCCAGCGATGAAGGATGCTCACGCAGAGCGGCACAACACACCCAGCCCCACCGGCTCAGGAGTCCAGCTTGATGAAGACCTTGGGCCTCGAGAAAATTTTGATGGCCTCTTCTATCTGGGAGAGCTTCCTCTCCAGCTCTACCCGCCTCTTCTGCATGCTGAGGTTGTCTGCGCGCATTGGCAGCATCACCAGGTCCTTTATCAGCTGCTCCTGGCCTGGAAAAAAAAAAAACAACAAGCTGTGTAAGTGGAAGAGCAAAGAAATCCATCCTTTTCCTAACACTATGACCTCATCCTCAGTCATGAAAATGGTGGCAGCACTGGAACAAAGACTTAGAATACCCATCCTTCTATTCAAAGCTCAGCTGGATGAGGACCTGAGTGACCTGCTCCGGCTTTGAAGAACCAGGGATTGGACTAAAGACCTCCGAAGGTCCCTTCCAACCAAAATCTGTCTATCATTTTAAGAGCAGTCCTGTAACCTGTGGGTCCCATCAACCTGAAGGAGATTGCTCTTTCCATGCACACAGCTCACATCCCAGTTACATGACTTATTCCAGGCAACTCTCCAAGTGGCAGGAATCTGTGCCCCAGAACTCTCTTCTCCCTAATCCTGGCTAGGATTGCCTGTTTTTCTGAGCTGGAATCCCTGTTTCTTTTCCTCTTACTCTGCTTCAGATTGCTGAGGGTCTCCAGCCGCTGGCCCTCCGGCATCATGGTATGACCAGGTGGCGTGTCAGGATCTGGCAGGTTTCGCAGCCGCTCCTCCATCTGTCTGCGCCACAGCTCCTTCCTCTCCAGCAGGCTGGCGAGGCAAACGAAGGCACGTGTCAGCACATCTGGCAGGAGAGGTCGCCCAGGGATGCAGGCAGAGGCCGGGAATCGAGCCCTTCAAACGCCGCTGGTCTCCTTGTCACTGCCTGAGGACCACAGAGACCCACCCTGCCGGCACACGCCCTTGCCGTGGAGGGATACACCCGGGTTTAGCCCGCATGCATGGACTAGCAAACACACTCCACATGCACTGAAGGGCTGCTGGAAGAGACGCACTGAGGCCGACAGAGCTCCTCGGAGACTAGGGCTTCTGCTCCTTGCTTCTGGCCCAGACCACTGAGTCCTCTCAAAACCATCTCTGGGCCAGTGACGGAATGAAGTTGGACAAAGTGGCTCACAGCCAGGGATGCTGGCAGAGAACAGCAGGCACAGCAGAGAGCCAAAGGACTGACACCATGGCCAGTCCTAGCACAGGGTCACACAGGAACTGTTTTCCACTCAGAACCCCAAAATGCAAGTCACTAGTTGGATGTTCCTCAGACTCCGGGTCCAAGGCAGGATGAACGCTGCGAGGCAGAGCAAGCTATCTGCCTCTCCAAAACCAGACCTTTTAATACTGAAGCTACATCATGTGGAGCAAGGCTTACGAAGGGGCAGGAGCGCATTTCTCAGAGCACACAGAGCGTCCCCACATCAGCACCATTGTACGACAGCAAGCAAGGGAGGAGGAGAGAAAATTCTTTCTGAGCCCAGTCACACTGGCCATGGAATGCTCGTTAAGTCAAGAAACCAGGAGGGATTGCATTTATTCCCCAGGCCATAGTAAACTGCACTGCTTGCATATGGTGAGGCTTGCGTTGCCTCTGTCCCCAGCCCCCCCGTCTTTCTACGCAGAAGCTGGGGGACGTGGTGAAGGGAAGTGGGCTTGTTACAAAAAGGCTTGTGGACCAGACAGGAGCATACGTACTACTGGGGAACGTGGCCCTTTTGCTTGGTGTTGTACTCCTCCTGCTCCCGGTGCTTCTGTTCCAGCAGCTCGGCCAGCGCCTGCAGGGACTGGGAGCGCCGCAGCGGGGCCCGCTTGGCGTTGCGGGCGTTATGCTTAATGAAATCGATGCTCTTGCCCTCCACCTGGATCTGGAAGAAGAGAGAGGGAGGCAGCAGGGGCCCTCTCGGCACACAGGCAGCTGCCCTTGTCCCCACAAGGGACAAAGCAAAGAGGCACCCTCACAAGATACAGAATTGCAGGTGTATTGCAATGGGACGGGCATACCCTCAGCCCATCCCATCTCAGGAGTCAGAGACAGAGGCAGGAGCTGTGGCCATGTTTTGAGAAGAAACTGGGGCCAGAATAAGTGCCAGAAACACCTGGGGTGCCATGGTTTGCCTGGCACCAAAATCCAGGCAAAACCTAAACCCCATCTTTTTGAGGTCCCCAAGCCGACCCCATGCCCTCAAAGCCAAAAGGACAGGAAGAACCAGGCTTGACATAGTCCACGTGGCTCCTACTGCTGTGTTTTGAGCCCTACAAAGCAGGCAAAAGGTCAGGAGAAAAACTGGTTGGGCCTTCACCAGACCAGTAAATGCAACAGAGCCCCTGGCAGAGCAGGAACTTAGCTAGTCTTGGGGGCGTTTCCCCAGAGACGCCTCTATCACAGCTCCTCTGATGGTCAAGACAAGGGAGAAGGTTGCTGGGTTTGAGTTTAAAGTTTTCTTTTCTTGGTTTTCCTCCTTAGGAGTTTATGTCCTGTTTAAATTAAGTCACTCCATGGCATTTGGGAACCAACAAACCGACAACCCCACACTAGCCAAGGAAAGAAGACATGAGTCACAGAGCAGTTGAGGACCTCCCAGACAAGACTACCTGAAAGGTTTAATTGTTAATACTGATTTAACTCTCCTTACTAAAAAGCACACCCATTTTCCAAATTTTTATCTAACGCCCAGAAGCCACAGTTCCTTTGATTAAGTGGGAGCAGTCTCCAAACTCCCAAGACCTCCTGCAAAGCCCTAGGAAGAGCAGATTTGAGATCACTGGCACTTCTACAGTGAGGAGGTGGGATTTTCAAAGGAAACTTCACAATCTCTTTAACTATAAGCAAGGATGAAGCCAGAGGGTAGTATCAGCAATCCTTGAATGCCCATGTCACCACCCCAGTGACCAAGGCCCCGTTCCTTCCCTTCAGCCAGGAACAGTATTTACAGATCTCCCTGTTCACGTAGCACATCTGACCCAACACTTTAGACGAACACATGAAGAGTTCAAAGCAGGAGCAACGGATAAGTGCCAGAAACCCCTGGGATGGACGAGTGCCAGACACCCCTGGGAGCATGCAGTTAGTGTGCAACTCACCTTGGTTCCAGCACCCAGTGCCTCCGGATCCTCTGTGTCTGCCCCTGCTTTCGTTCTGGCAGGCCTTGGGGAGAGCGGTCTGCATGGCTTGATCCCAGGGCCACAGCGAGAATATGCCCTCAGGAATTTCAGAGCCTCTGGATTTGGAGGTGGGGAGCTCTCCTGGGAAAGGCGAGAAAACACACACTAGCAGAGGGAAGCTGGAGCAAAGAGAAACCCACCCAACAAAGTTTGGGTGGTCAACGACAAGTTTCCAGCAGGCAGATGACAGCACGCTCTTTCTGCCATGACTTGGCAGAATTTCTTGGGGAAAGGCAATCTGTACACAGCCAGCAAAGGCCAAACAGACCGCCTACAGCAACAAATCCAGACCTGGCAACTGAACTTTGTAAAGAAACGCTAAAAAAAAGGGGAAAAAATCTACAGAAACACGCAGTTGGATCAAACGCATGCGTAGCATTGACTGGGGAGTCCCTCTTTACTGACTAATCTGGCAGGCAAGAAAGGAGAGCAACACCAGATAACCCAACAGAGATACCTACCAGACCTAGGGACAGTTTAAATGGATGGACAGTCCAAACTGACAATGATTACGTCTCCTTAAAAAGCAGAAATCTTGCTGTAAAAAGGGCAAATGGCAGCGTGGAGTAAGCGTGCTGGAAGTCAAGAGACACATGCCAGTCTCCCTTGTTGGCAACACTGAAGAACTTGAACTCCCAGAAGAAGCCGTCCCACCTCCATAAATCCAGAGCATGCTGCCGAGCCTGCTACAGCAAGCTTTAATGAAATGGCGCAGGTAGGCATGAAGCTGACACAAATTAGATGCTGTTCTCAAGTGCTGTTCTGTTCAGCACCCCAAATCTGTGGTTATCCTATTCTAAACAGAAAGAGGAATGGAGAGTGAGGGAGTCTGGTAGTTTTGGGAGGGTGGAATTGCATCTGGGAGGCATCTTCAAAGGCCGTGGTTAGCGCTGGCACAAGGCGATTGATGTCTAACAGGCGGTCTGCAACAAGACTGTCTGAGGCAGTCCCCAGACAAACCCTGAAAATTGGAAGGACACTGTGGCAAGCGGGTGACCTTATAATAAATACAACCAGTGCACTGCTCTGCTCTTGGCAGTAACAGGAACTGTACAGGGCAGCCTCCAGATCTTTACCCACGGTCTCGGCTGCTCTCTCAGCTGAACTGCAGTCCCCTTGAGGCAGATTCCTCGTTGCCTGGCCCATTTAGCTCGGCAGATCTGAAGACTGAAGGTAGGATAGGACAGTAACATCAGTAATTTTGGTGTAAGGACCAGGACAGGCGATGCCCTCAGCACTGCCTAGATTGATCATGCTCCAAAGATGATCAGTCTTTTTTTCAACAGGAGCCGGGAGACGCAGATCTCTCCAGTAGGTTAATGAGAAGTGCCTTTACCTAGTGCGGTGGGTTAGAAGTCAAATCAGTCTCTGATCTTAGGAGCGTGCTAGCAGAGTGCAGCGTGCCCCATCTTCCTCCACAGGAGCACTGAGACTGTCAGAGCCCTTTGCTACAATTAACAGCCTCGGGGACAGATGAGAGAAAAGAAACTCCGTGTTAGACATCATCCTAACAGAATCAACTTAAAACTCTTGAGCAGCAGCTCTCCAGAGGACGGAGATGGAGATCCTTCACAGGGAACACCCCAGCTCTAGGAGAGTCACAGCAACAGTTAAAGCAAGGTGAGTCAGCACCAGGGCCTCCTGCCACCTCTCTGGAGGAATCTGCAGAGCACAAGTAATGCACCACGCAGAAACTGCCTGCGCAGAGACCACCTCCTTCCCCCAAAACAAAAGAAGAAATGATCTCAGTCTTCCTCCAACCCAGAGGATTTGTCAAACAGGAGCGTAGGCTTGTGTTCCTAAAGCACACGTGGGTTTGCTCCCATGTGTGGAAGGGTCACGGACATCAGAGAGGTTGGTGGTGGCACACCCGGGAAGAAGGGACACAGCATTTGGAACCACTGGCTTGGAAATCATCTTGCCAATTTTTGCAGTTGTTATCTACACACATAATTTTAGTGTCAAAAGTTGGCCTGAGGGCCACAGACCAGAGGGAAGCAATGCAAAGACGAGGAGGAACTTGAAGGCTCCAACTCAGGAAGGGAGCACCAAAGGAAGGCTGCGTAAGTGGCAGTGCTTGAGGCGTCACCCAGCTTGCACCCACCGTCTGCACAAGCAGCAGCTCGCTGTGTCGCTCCTGTCCACACAGCCTGGATGGCTGCAAAGACAGGACAGAGACAGACTGAGAAGGCTACCAGGGACTCGCAGAAAGACAAAGCCCTCTCCTGGCAGCCGACAACCCTGAGGCCGATGGGAATGCAGGATCCAACAGTTCAAGGCTGCTCTGGAGACCCAGCGGCTTACTGGCCAAGTCAGCAGCCCTGCACTTCCCCTTCCTCAGGGAGCTTCTCCCACACGAGGCTGAGCTGGAAGGGAGCCCCAAGGCCTCTGCTCCAGGAGGTCACTATGATGAGGGTGGGCACAACCCGCCATGTGGTGGGAACCAACCCCATCCATAGGAGCCACAGTGCCTACTTCTGGAAAAAGGAAAAGGCCAACCGAACACAGAGGTCACCTGGATGACAGGGGTCTCCCAGATCCAGACTGATGACAGTGGATCCACCCAAAGATAGCGATGGAGCTCTTCTTCCCTCTCCCCGCGGGCCTTAACTTTACTTTCTGCACAAACAGGTACACTTACTGTAGGCAGGCAACTGCTTTGGGTGCATTTTGCAAAGCCCTCCAACAGAGGCACCATTTAAACACAAGGAACCCACCAGAGGAGAAAAAATTATCCAGAGAAAGAAAAAGAAAGAAGCCAAAAGTGAACCAAAACTTTCACAAAGCCAGACACGCGCTCGTTTCAGCAGTGGAGAACGCCTGAGGAAACAAGGCACGGCCCTGCATTCCTTCTCCCACAAGCACGTGTACAGCGGACAGGAGGTACGTACACCCTTGCAGGTTGCGCTGGAGCTATGAGGCCTCCACCTTGATGGCCTGGAGATGTCTGTGTGCTCCCACTGTGCAGTGGTTATTCACCAGGACAATCGCTCAGAGAAGAATCTGGAGAGATACGGCCCACTGTAGGTCCACAGGGTGGTAAGAGTTAGACCAACGTTTGACGCAGCCAGAAGACCTACCTCTGAGGACCATGATCCATGGGGCAAACCCCAGACTAGCATTGCCCCAAAGGGAAGCTGCAAAGCCAGCTGGATGCACCTCTAGACAGGGAATATGGCTGTGAGGGCTGCTCTGCACCCTCAGGAACCCCCTGTAGATCCCTCACAACCGAAGGGCCAAGTAGGAGCCTCCAGATGAGATCTTCCTCTTCTCAGCTTCCCCTGCATGGGTCTGGTCTACGTGGCCAGACAGGATGGGGATTATTACAGCAATCGCTCTCCAGACCCAAGCCAAACGTTCTCGCTCAGCACACAGCCCCACTGTCACGTCTGCCCACTGTGCTTCAGAACCAAGTTGCCCCCAATCCCGTAGGTTCTGGGACTCCCCCATTTCCACCGTCCCAAAGAGCCTCATGGCTGAACTGCATCCCAGGCCAGGAGAGTTCAAGAGCTCAGTGGGTACCGACCTGCAGTTTGGCCTTCACCTTTGACTCCACGTTTTCATATTTCTGGGATTTCCACAGAGCTTTCACAGGCTTGGGCTGGCTGTGCTCTTGGGCTCGCTCCTTCTCTTTGCACTTCTTCTGAATCTCCTTTATTCGCCTCACATTTTCCTTCTCGTGGTAAAAAAGGGACACACAACCTTCACCCCTCAGACACTGCCAAGGGATGCAGCTCTTGGAGCACTGGCACCAGAGCCCACAGCTCTATCTCCAAAGCTGGTCCAACCACCCATAGAAATAGCAAGCTCCCCCCTCTCCTGCAGACAAGGCAATCTGCATTTTTCCCATGTTAGATGCACTCTCCTGAACTGACCCTTTTCTGCCAGAGGATCCCACAGTGCCCAGATGATGATCAGCACAGGTCTGTGCACATCACCGGTGTTCACAGACTCCCTTGCTCTGAGGGTTACTTGTCCCATTTTGGGCTACGCTAGACAAGCCATGCCAGCATCCTCTCAAGAACAAGGTCAATTCCCAGTTCAGCATCCCACAGTGTTTCTGAAGAGAAGAGTGGGCTGGTTAACGGCAGCTGCAGAGCCTTCAACCTGTGCTGTTCCTGGTTTCAGGCTCAGGGTCAGCCATTGTCCCACATTCAAGCGGACATAAGCAAGACTATGGAGCGTATTTTTTGTTTTCGAATCAAAAATGATCCTTTTTTGGGCTCCCCAAGGCAGGGAAGATCTCAGCTGATGCAACCAGAGCCTCTTCCATTCCCCTCCTGCTTTGGCACAGCAGTTGTGGCAGCCACCAGCTGGCATCTACCACGCTGGCACCAGGTGGGGCTCGGAGCAACGCCAGCACGTGAAGCCAATCAAGTGACGTGCTCAGCCTTATCTCCTCCTGGACCTCTGAATGTACTCCAGGTGAGCTCCCTGGAGAAGGGAACACCTTTCGCAAAGATGTTCTCAGTATCTACATATACCGACAGTCTTCCCAAACCCTGCCTGGCTTCTGTAACAAGGATTTCCCCAGGTTAAACAACCTTTATACATTAAGATTTCACTTGATCCATCTTTCAGTTTGACTATAAAGATACTGATTATATTCAGAGGCAGCAAACGAGAAGGGCTTGATTTACTTCCAGCATCTCTCAATAGCCTCTCATCCATGACTAGTTCCTCAAGTCAAAATTAAACAGCATCTTTTTTACAGTCCCTCTTCCCACTGCAGACCTGGGCCAGAGCAGAGTCAGGGCGGCCGCAGCAGCACCCGCTCCAGCACGGGTGACAGCCCAGGGACACCACTGCCAGGCCAAATGGAGGAGATGGGATGACCAGCCCTGCAAAGTTCAAGCTCTCCTCAGGCAGCAGAGCCGAGGAACCCACCCAAATCCCTGACGCTTCATCCCTGGCCCCAAATGCAACTCAGGCCAGCAGCGACTCAGCTGTACTTACTCTTGAATGGCAACCCCCCATCAAGGGAGATCCCTTCAAGCTGCAGTAAGAGACTGAGCGTCCCCTTCTGTCCCTTCTCCAGAAAGTCCTTTCCACTGGGGCGAATGCGAGGGGCTGGCTGGATCTGGCGGGCACTGCCCAAAGCGGGGTATGGGTTCGGAACTGGGTCCAGGAGGCCAGAGGTAAAATCCAGCTTCTGAGCATTTCCTTCCAGCCTCCCTCGAGCTACAGAGAAAGAAAGAGAAGGAGATTATTGGGAAACGATCTCACCCTCACCTGTGGTTTTCTTCACCCACAGCCTACAAACAATGCTGAAGACCCCCTCCCCACCTCTACCTTATGCTTTCCCATCTTTCAACCAGCTGTACAGACCAACTTCAGGATCACCATCCGTGAGGCAGCAGAAGCACCTGCACCAGTGTGAGTGGAGACTGTTGAGGACGCCAAAGAATAAGGACATCAAATGGACAAGCTGCGTCATGCCAAAGTACAAAACCACACATTTGTAACAAGCATCAAGGACTCACCTGAGAAGGGGCGT